AAACTGTGTCATTCTGCATAATGAGTCATTTTACTTTTAGGACTCAGGGAGAAATGTCAGAACAGGGGAGGAGGTTCAGACACATCTCAGAGAGGTTAAAGTCCAAGAAAAAGGCTAGTCTCACACCTCCAGGTTGTGTGACTTGTCAGGCTGCTAACATGTTCCTGGTGGCATTTCCCGAGAGCTGTCACTCACCTATTAGTGCCTGAGCAGCAGGACATTTGGATGGCAGCAGGCTGGAAGTAAGGGGGCTGAGCTCAGGTTGATTCTCATTAGACCTCAATCTCTGCAGCTCCGATGGGTCCTGACAGATACGCAGGGTTGTAGATGGGAAATAAACCCACCTCAAGACTGAAGTTGAGAATGTAGTTCTTGAGAGGGAGGGAGGGAGAGATGATGTGGCTCCAAAGTTAATTGAACAGAATGTCAGAATTTGCTGTATTACAGATTATCACACGATGCTGCTCCAGTTCATTTTAAGGCCAGATCACAAATCACAAAAAAATATGCTTTTCCAAAATCTAGCAGTGCTGAGTATCTATGAGATAGTTGTCATCACCCTACTAAAATGGAGATGCATGGGAGCTACTGCTGAAAGCGTTAGAAATGACCACCATCACAGCGACATATCTTTAAGGGGAACCCCACTGATTTTACACAGCAGAGTCTATTTACATGCAGCAAATGCAGTGTTGGACAGTAACGCATTAAAGAAACCACCTCTAGCTGTCAGTAGGAAACAGAAATTGAACAGTTGTCTCCTGTAGTTGACATTTTGTTGAACCATCCATCCACTACAACCCCCTCCCTCTGCAGTAACCACACTATTTCCTCCTTTGCGCCCAGTGGAAAAAGCCATAATACCTAGGGCCACTGGAGAAACAGCCACTAGAGCGTGAGCATTTGTCATTTTGAGACAGTTTTGGAAACAGCTGATGCTGTACTTTATCTTGGATGGACAGTCTCGGCTACCCACAGACCTCACTATGGACAGTTTTCCACCAAAGCCAAACAACACAGTTTGCTTAGTATTAATCTCAAATATTGTGCCCGGACTAGCAGCGAGTACTGGCAACCAATGAAGCTTGTTTCTCACAACATGGGTGTGATGGGGGGAAAGAGAGATTTTAAAGCCCAGAGTTTCCCTGCGAGAGCTGTCATTCACCCAAATGCTTGTCATTGGTGATTTTTTAGCTTGGCTGTAAGAGCTGACAATGTTCCTCATGGGACCTCTACCAAGAAGGCAGCCAGTTAAAGACAGAAAGCAGTACAGAGATATCAGTCCCTCCAAGTGTGCTGTGAGGAAACAGAGGAATCTAAATCAGGGCCTATATGATGAGCTGTGTGTTGCTCCCAAAGCAGTGTTTTTCTAATACGTAGGGTCTAATGATGCCCTCAAAGGTGCCTCATATATCACAGTCTAGAGTTATTAAGCCCACTGTCATAAAATACATGCTTGAGTAAATAAATTGCTGCAAGCGGTTTAGTCTCATGTGTGTCCTTGGTCAGAAAGGACTCCTGTAGGGCCATCTGACCGATTACAAGCATGGAAGATGTGGCTTTAAGTCAAGGCCTCGACACGTTAATCAGATTAGACTGAAGTTGCCATGTGTAGTATTTTAACCTCAATCACAAGCACATTAATTTGAAAAACATCATAATTACCATAAACAAACACGGCTTCGGCGGAGGAGACCGTCAGCAGCGAGGTACATGGCACTTAACTTTGTGTTGATGTGTTGGAAAATCTGCTGCAGGGCTTCCCCACTCAAAACAGGAACACCTTCCCTTTCCACTTCAACTGTTCAGATGTGAACCAGTGAATTATGCCCCCCCTAAAAAAAAGAAAAAACAGTGGAAATGTTTAATGAATTATCTGTGTTGTTGTAGGTTGATTTTGTGTTGCTAGTATAATCAGTGAATTGACTGTTTGTTTAAGCTCTAGCTAGACAGCTAGCCCTCTATGTCGACCCACAAACCGCTCGGATTGGTTACCTGTTTCTCTGGGGGGCGGGGGGACGACACACATACCAGGAGCTGAAAGTAACAACGTACATTCACTCAAGTACTGTCCTTAAGTACAGTTTTGAGGCACCATACTTTTTGGTCCTTGATTTTCAGATGGATAAACAAAGTATAATCATAAGATTTTTTGTCCCCAGTGGGAAATTCACAAGCTACTCAGCAGTATGTGACACATACTTCAATTTATAAGCATATAAGGTAGTTATCAGTAGCTCCGCCTTTATCAGCTGCAACGTTAAATGTGATGTACACAGTAATACAACATTAATCCAATCATATGATATACATTAATGCAAACTGTGTCATTCTGCATAATGAGTCATTTTACTTTTAGGACTTTTAAGTATATTTCGATGCTAATACTTTTGTACTTGTGAGTAACATATTGAATGCAGGACTTTAACTTGTAACAGTGTTTTTACACTGTACCATTGCTGCTTTTACTTCAGTAAACAATCCGAGTACTTCTTCCACCACTGGAAATCAGTGTTTACACACCAACAGACCTGCAGTATATGAACCACTGATCAAATAAGATGTAGTGTGTCAGAGGAAAATTAACCTGCTTCATAGATACAACACTGGATTCTTGTCCATGTTGCTGTTTTCATAAAGTTAGAAATTTCAACTTTAATGTTCACAGCATAAAATTCAGTGTCATAGCTTTTCAGTTAACATGGAAACAAAACAGTGGTTGCAGAGCAGATTAAATCAGCAGTGTAATGGAATCCATGCAGTCTAGTGACCTGGCCACTGATCCTTGACTGCTACTCCTCAGTACTATTTATAGACGCTCCGTGGACACGAGCTGTGGTCTGTTCCACCTGGTTAACCCCTGGGCACATAACAAAAGTAGCAAACTGTGGCAACACCACATCTCCACTAGACATAGATGGCAATTGTTATGCTTTAAAGATCCCATTTTGTAAATTTAAAGGTACGTAACCAAAATGTGTTCTTGCTTGTTGCTGTGATCACACCATCAAGATTGTTTTGCACACCGAGGACATCTCTAGCATATTTGCTTTGTCCAGGCAGACGCACAGCTTTTCTCACTTCCACATGACATGACGCCCTTGTTTTCAGTCTGCAGATGTGAGACTGTGTGTTCAGATCGCCTGCACAGACAGGAATCACCCCGTTGCTATGGCGCTATATAGCCACAGTCCCTACAGAACGAATTAAACTGTTCAAAGAAAACCTGTGACCTTGATTTTAAACAGCAGCCCAAACTGTGAGCAACTGGTGGGTAGCTCACGATCAAGAACAAAGGAAAAAGCAGTGATTTCAACGTACTTGTGGTCTTACTGAGATTACACTGTTTATAGTGCACTGGGATTTGAGCAGATTTAAGGTATTAGAAGCAGAGTTGTTCATTTACCTACTTTGGTGTTTAAATATAATGAAGAAGGAAAAAGAGAAAGTCTAGACGAGCACTAAACCAGAGGAGGTAGCTTGAAATAGACAGGAGCAACTCGTCTCTATGGAAACCACAGGCGAAAACAGTGGCACACACTGCCGCGAAAGACATGCATGAGATGAGGATGAGAGAGACGGGAGCGGGAGAGCAAGGGTGAGACGAGAAAGAGGGCAGGATGAAAGAAAGACGGCGAGCTGTGGGAGCCGATGCCCCAGTGGGCATTAGTCTCACTGGCTTCATCTGTCTTTGAAAGAATTGATTTCATTTCACCAGGCGAACACAGTATTGTCCTTAAACACCACGAGGAGTCATTTCTCAAACACGGTGGTCCCGATGACACAATTAAAAGTTATCCCCGGTTAGAATACTCACAGTTCACCATTTACCACAGTTTTAGTGAAGTGACTAACTCACCTGTCACCAGCAGTCGACAGGTTAATGCTTTCCCATTCTGAGTTCAATGTGTTTTCACTGTAGAGGCCGAGCTATAGACCAGTGAACTGAGGAGAGCCTTACCTCTGTAGAGGCTGGCTAATGACCAGTCAGTCAGGATGTAACTGTCATTGTCATGTCACTTTCTATTTGTGACCAAACAAATCTCAAAGGAGAATTAGGTCCTGTGTTGTTTAGTATGGAAGCTAATTTGTGGCAATGGATGAAAAGCAGAATACAGAATATAAATCAAAATACCTATGTCAAAAATGTGACAAATAGCCAAAACTGTGACTTGCAGTAGTACCCCCCAGAAACTGGTTTACTGACATCATCTAACTTTATTTAACAAAAAAACATTGAGACTTTTCCCCGTTTTATTTTTTACATCAAGAAATATTTGATCAGAGATGATAAGACTGAGGATCTGTTAAACTTCCATTTAAGACTCAAGATCCAATCATGAAATTATCAAAAATTCTTGAAATTCTGTCTGCAAGAGGACAATTATAATGTGATTTTAAAAAGTGTTCTTTCTATCCATGCACTTTATGGAAGCTTTCCACTGTGGCTGAGGTTTTAAAAATGTATTGACCTTATTAGCATGGCAGATATACAGGCTTTCTACCTGACGCTTGCTGAATTACAGCTGAGCCACTTCTGAGACGAGTCATGTTTCAGTCATGAGGAGGTGTTTAGGATTGCTTCATGATTCTGATGTGGCTCCACTGTATCACAGGAATTCTTAACCCACAAGTCGATTCTTGACACATCAACTTATCCTATTTAGATTGTGAGGAAAAGATTTTAAAAAGCAAAGAAAATAGGAACATCTACCGATTTGATTCAGTCTATTCTCAACTCTGCTGTGCCACATTCAAAACAAATCCCCGCTGTGGGTGTCTAATAATAGACAGGATTCATGCAAGAATGGGGACATCTACCCAGAATACCTCGTATGCATTACTAAAGGTGATTAATAAACCTGTACCAATGTGTTACATCGCCACTGACTTCTGCCTGGGTCACCCCAGCACTGACAAGCAAATCATCATATAGTCACAAACGGTTCTTTTTGCAGAGCATTCCACTTCCCCTCCTCACATGTGTGTTACCTTCCTAGGCATCACCACAGTGCTGACCATGACCACCCTGAGCACAGTGGCCAGGAACTCACTCCCTAGAGTGTCCTACGTGACGGCCATGGACCTGTTCGTCACCGTCTGCTTCCTGTTTGTCTTCGCCGCCATGATCGAGTACGCTATGCTCAACTACTACTCCAACAGTATACGCAGACCTCCTGCCAAGACGCAGAGAATGGTAAGCCTGTGCTGAAAGTGTGACAAATAGGCTGGCACGTATTAGCTCTGCATCTGCTTTTTATTTACGTTGACGCCCACCTTCACTAGAGCTAGTTCTTCTTTGAGCACAGCTGAATACAACATTCAGACCAAACTACATGCTTTAATATCTCATTAGTTTAATGGCATGAGGTTCACAGGCTCCAGCAACCTCCCTCATGGCACCCACGGGATCAGTCACTACGGTCCTTATCTAGCTGCCCAGACATGTCCCGTGTGCCTCTGCATTGACGCCTGGGTCTGGTTGTCCAGCCCTGGTGTCATCTAAGTGTTGCTTCAGAGGCTTTTTAACCTGCTGATGGTCAAATTCTTGTTACCTTTTCATGAATGATGGCCGTTAGGTCTTCATAAACTCATGCACATGGTTTTTGTAGGTGAAGGATGTGTGTGCCTGTGCAAATGTGCAACTGAGTCTCTTCTGTGTGAAAGTCTGATGCACTGTGTGGGCACTCTCGAGGCTGCACCTGCCGTGAACACTGGAATGGCGGGGGCACACACTGCGAGTGAGT